ATAGTATATAGGGGTGTGTACACACGTGCATGTGAGTATGTGTATGTGTGTGTGTACAGGTATGCACGCATACATACACATATACATAGTGAAGCAAGGGTGGAAAAATGCTAACAATTGGTAAATTGACATGATAGGCATATAGACATCTATTTAATTATTCTTGCAATTTTTCTGTAAGCTGAAAACTTTTCAAGACATAACAATGGTGGGGGAAGAAAAATTAATAAATGGAAATAAAAACTTGGTATACCATTTTTTACAGGCTAAATTTGCTAAAATAGGAGGCTGCTATTTAGAGTGTGATCCATGTATTTGTCCTGGTACAGACTCTGCTAATGTAAGGAGATGGTATATTCCACATGCAAATGACCTATATTGATGCAAGAGCAGACACTGGCAGTGGTTTGCAATGGGAAAAAATGTAAGGACCTCCAGTGTGGACAGCTTTATCCCCTGACAAGCTGTGATTATTCAGCGATTCGTCCCTCACCATGACAGCTTCGGGTGATGTCTCTGAAGCGTCAGCTATTCTCTTTGTGTTCAGTGCATAAAATCTTCTCAGCAATGAGCATTGTTACCGAAAAACGAATCATCTACAAACCTCATGTTTATCTGACATGGCAATATTAGAAATACCAGGGTGGAGAATTACTTTGGGAGAAAGTTTTTTAATAAAACATGAACAAAAATTGAGAAATGTTGAAAACCATACCCAAACACTTAAATAATTTATGGAATTTTGAAAGTGTTGAGACTTGAATCTTCAAGTGACACAGCAAGCTTATTTTTTTAAATAATGGGTCAAGGCAGGTGATGGATTGATATGGTCAGATAAATGATAGATAGACAGACATGATATATAGCTAGATATATCAGATGTACACACACATAGATATAGACGGTATATAAGTAGGCAAAGTTGGATATTTATTTGGTTATAAAAAGAATTTTTCCCTTAAAATGATCCATTGTATATATATATATATATATATATATATATATATATATTAATATATATTAATTATTTAAAAATATTATTTAAATAGGTTTTTATATGTAAATCCCACTTCTGGAAATCTTTTAAGAAATACTGTAAGCATTTTAAAACATAAAAAATGAAGTTCATGCCAGTGTTTTCTACAATAGCAAGAAATTAGAATTGATCTAAGTATCTGACAATATGGAAATAGTTAAGTAATATGATACAACCATTTAAAAAGATGGTTTCAAAGGGTTTGAAACCTAGAAAATCATTACAATATGGTTTGTAGGAAAAGCAGGAATCACGAAGACTTTTTCTATAGGATATCTATGTTAAATCAGGCAAAGAAATTTTAAAAAACATGACGTGCTGTAAAACACTGAAAAAAATCACTAAAACCTTCACAGTAAAAATTAACTAATAAATATTATATACATACATAAATAGTTATTTTAAATTTCAGCCACCCCACGAGGCACCCTGCCTAACCAGCTTATCTAAATCTATTCTTTACCTTAATCTGATTTATTTTTCTTCCTATCATTTCTTGTCCTGGTGTTATAGAATCATGTGTTGTTTAGTTCCTGTTGCCCCCACTAACACATAAGCTTTTCAAGGACTGGCACCCTTTCTGTCTTTCACATTGTTCTACAGTGTCTGGCACATAACATATGCTGAGTAAAAATGTACTGAATGAACTAATGAGAAGTTATCCTAGAGCACTTCAAATATGACTGACATTGTAAAAATTGTATTGTTTTTAGAGCAAAACATCCCACATAGTATGAAAAATGAGCTAATCTGTATTAGCGGTTAAGAACCCCAAAATGCAGTCAAAATAATCTCATAAAAACCAGATGATTGGCCTGATGGTCTAAATATAGCTTAATGAAATGTAGGGTTTGGAGGGACTTTAAAGATTATCTCATGTCCAATACCTTCATCCATAAATTGTAAGACGTCAGCACCACTCCAAGATACAGGGACCTGGACTATCAGATGGGTCCTGGTGAGTGTTCTGTCAGGACCCAGTTAACCATTTATATGCCCCCCTGCCTCCCACCCACACCCACCAGGGTTGAGAGGCCCATACGAATGATTTGTAGAATCCATGGGGTCTGCAGTTTCAGGGAGTGATGGAACAGCAGGACCTCAAGTTCCCTGGGGTCACGGGCATGTTGAATATTCTAGAGCATCCCGGGGCTTATCACAGAGCTCAGACATTCAGCAAGATCCCAGTTGACCAAAAACTAAAAATGCACTCAGGTGAACACTTTTAAGAAGGAAAGCCTCCAGTTCCTGGATGTTCTGTGATAAGAAGACTCTCCTACTCTTTCCTCATTGATCTTTCCATGGCTAATGATGGCTCAAATGGCTCCTCATCCTGTTTCAAATTCATCCTTTCTCTCAATCAATTTTCCATCTTTAACATTTTTCTTATGGCTATTTATATGTCATCTTTGATAAGTTTCCTATTATTTTCCTTGATAATATTTCTATTTGTGAATCTATATTATTCTTACTGGTTTGTAAGGACTCTTCATATGTTGAAATGTAGACATCAGCTGATAAATCACTCTGCTCTTTAATACATAGGGCGGGATTGAATCATATGTCCTTCCATGGATTTTGGAGTAACCTGTACATTCCCCAAGGTATATGAAAATTGCCTTTCCTAAGATTTGTAAAAATTCTTACGAAGTTTATGTTTTTCTCATCACATCTCTCACAGAAGGAGAGATGCCATCCCACCTGAAACAGGTAAGTTTACATATTGTTTTGCCACCATGTAAGGCTATATATATATACACACACACTATGCACAGCCAGATAAATAATCTAGACTTAGTATCTTCTTTAAAAATGCACATGGTATCCCATGTTTCAGACTTTACTGAAGATTTGTGCAATTTCAAGATTTTACAAGCAGTTACTCAAACAAGTGAGAATTGAATATTAACCTCCCTGTTCACCAAAAGAGATCCCAGACAATTACTTCCCACTGTCCACTGGGAAAGAGGAGAAAGCTAAGGGTGGGGAGTGAGGGTCTCCTTTGTCCTAGTTACATAGTAAGAATATTAACCTTTGATCTGCCATAAATGTCACATACAGTTTTCTTTTTCTTTTTTCTTTATTTTTTTCTTTTTTGAATTTTTATTTTGTCAATATACAATGTAGTTGATTATTGTGTCCCATCACCGAAACCTCCCTCCCTCCTCCCTCTCCCCCCTCCCACCCAAGTGTGTCCCCTCCATTTGCTTGTTGTAAGAACTTCAAAAAAAAAAAATTGTGGTTGTTATATCTCTATTGCAA